GAAGAGTGAGTTTATTAAGCAGTATAGGTATTCTGGGAAAGTACTTGGTTTGGGGATCTGTGAGAGGGTAGACCCAGAGTATGGTTTTTGGATACGTTGAAATTAAAGAGACTTCAAGATATCTAAAAGACAATTAGACATCATGGTCTGGGGCTCAAGAGGAATTTCAGGCTTGAGTTAGCAATGTGTGAATAATCTGCATATTGCTTGTATATGAAATTATGGGCATGGATGAGACACTTGAGAAAGTATAAAATGAGAATAGAGAAGGTAGAAGCAGGCCTTGAGGAATCCCCAAATGATGGGATTATAGCTTATAGTGTTGGTTACTAATTCTAAAAAAAATAACAACAAAAAAGACCCTAAAATATAGTACATTGACTAGTACTCAAAGGCATTAATTATAATAGTTTAAAATTATTTTGTTCTCTTAATTCAATTCAGAAATATCAAATATGTCAAGTGTATTATTTTCATTTTGTTGTGGGGTGTTGCACAGAAGATGGGAAACCACCTGACAGTAGTCATTGTTCTTTCACATGTCTACCTTTTTTTTTAATCAAAAATCTTTTCCAATTCCTTTTGTAATTGTGGTCAAGAGTTCCTTTTAGGTATAATACTGCATTTTACAGAAATAAAACACTTATTTCTGGAAGCATCTTTTTTGGTTTAATGTTTCAGTAGATAGCATTTGAGTTAAAAAAATAATTGGATTAACATTTTTGGATAGTTTTTATGTATTCACTTTAAATAGAAGTTCATCTAAGTGGAAATTTTAAAAGTATTTTCTGTGTCAGATCTGCAAGTATTTAAAAATGGTTCTCTACATAAAATATGGGTACTGTATAATTAAGATGTTATAAACAGTTTTTCAAGAATGCTTCATGTGCTTCCTAGGGGAATTATTCTGCCTACTGGTAAGCCAGAGGATGCTTTTGACTGGCTCAATGTGATCTCCACCCATATGTTATATTGTAGCACTCTGTTCTTTTATTACTACATATTCTCCTTAAAAAGATCTTATGAATGAATTTATCATAAAACTATCCTAGGTTATAATACTATTCTCTGATACTCCTAGGAATATATTAACTATGGAGGAATTTATGGCCAAAAAAGGGGAAGGGATTTTTGTTTGTATGTGTGTTTGGGTTTTATTTGTGTATATTTATTCATTTAGCAAATTTTTTGAGCACCCACTATGTATTAGGAATCGTCCAGGACATTTAGGACATTGGTTAATAAAAACAAAAATTCTTACTCTTGAAGAGTTTCCTCTAATGGGATGAGTAAACTCAGTTAATAATAGACATAATAAGTACACTATACCCAATGTTCAAAAGTGTTAAGTACTAAGGGAAAAGAAAGAAGCAGAGTTAAGGAGTTGGGAATGGAGGACATGGGGTTTGCAATTTGAAATAAGATGATCAGAGTAGACGGTAAGCAAAGATATGCAGTAAAGGAGTTAATCAAACGGATATCTGAGTGAGGAGCTTCCAGTCAGAGGGAAGCTGATGTTAGGCCCTAATGCAGGAGTCTTGTGTGTTCAGAGGACAGCAAGGAAGCAAGGAGGCCAGTGTGACAAGCAGTGGAAGGAAAAACTGATAGGACAGAATGTGAGAGGGGAGAAGTGATACATGTCCCTGTAGGTCAAGAAATTACTTTCGACTCTGAGAGACATGAGATAAAAGGGAAGGTGAGGCACCCACTCTGCGCAATCAGCAGCAGTGATCTTGGGTTCTCACTGACATTCACACTCGCGGTACACAACAGGTGAGAACCTGGCCCTGGTTTACTTACTAGCTTTGTACAAGGGGACAAGACAGGGAAGTACAACATGTCAGCATTACAGCTTCCAAATATATCTTTATTGGCAGTTCTTATAAAAGTCTGTGGCTATTTCCCAGCGCTATTGTGGGCACATTCACTTGTACGGGATGAGGCCGGATGGCTGGGTATGGACTACCCCCAGCTAGAAAAGCCTCGATTCTAGCGGCAGCAATGTCTCATGAAGCCCAAGAGGGTAGCTCCCGCTGCAGGCACACTCTTAAGAGAGACATCACACAGAGAAGCCAAGGCCTATATTTCTCAACATATCTTTTTTTTTAATCTATTAAGAAGACTAAAAAAAAATCTTTATAGATAAAATTTTTTAAATGTCACAGAGCTGAAGTCAATAAAGAAGCACACCCTGTTCGCTGATGAGTTGACATTGTAAAGATTCACCATCCTGGAAACTTACTAGGTATTAGAAGCTACCATATTTGGAGTACTCCAGGAAATCATATAGACCGTGATTTTTTTTAAATAGCAAAATTGGAATACTCATATTAATCATAACACTAATGTAATAAAAAATACTGTTAGGGAATGGACAAATCAGTAGTCCAATAGAATAGAGAAACCAGAATTTGATTCAGTTATATATATATGATACTATTTATTATATACTTCCGTTATGAATTATTTTTTAAAATTTATTTAAATTCAATTAATTAACATATATTATTAGTTTCAGAAGTAGATTTCACTGATTCATCAGTTTCATCATGTCTTTTTGTAGTTTTGGCTGTGTATACTTTCAGGGTCTGTGAATCCACTTGGAGTCCTCCCAGTCCAGATGTAGTTACCCAATCATTTGTATAACAGTATTGAATACAGCTGACCTTTCGTATTTTTCTTAACATAGTATGTTTCCAAGGAAACCTCTTTAAAAGACAGTAACATGAGGTTGTGTTCCCGTGGAGAAAGAGCTCAGACCTGTAGTTAATCCTTTCTCCTCTGGGAGTTACTTCAGAGTTTTGAGAAGGGAAGTAACACTTGCTTTTTTTTTATGCTTAAATCACATGGTTTATTGGATCAGCATAAAACATATACCCAGTAGCAAGAGAAAAGAGATCTGGGTATAAGTATACACTTAGGATGGAGTGGAAGGACCACAAAACCGAATCCTGTGTTAAAGATATTTCAGTTCTCTACAATTTTTTAAATTAACATATAATGTATTATTGTTTTCAGAGGTACAGGTTTGTGATTCATCAGTCTTATATAATATCCAGTGCTCATTGCAATACATGCCCTCCCCAATATCTGTCATCCAGTTACCCCATCCCCCCACCCCACTCCCCTACAGCAACCCTTAGTTTGTTTCCTATGATTAAAAGTATCTTATGGTTTGTCTCCCTCTCTGCTTTCATCTTGTTTCCTTTTTTCCTCTCTTCCCCTATAATCCTCTGTCTTGTTTCTTAAACTCCACATATCAGTGAGCTGATATGATAATTGTCGTTCTCTGATTGACTTATTTCACTTAGTATAATACCCTCTAGTTCCATCCACGTCATTGCAAATGGCAAGAGTTCAGTTTTTTTGAGGGATGAGTAATATTCCATTGTATATATATACCAAATCTTTTTACATATTCATCTGTTATTGGACATCTGGGCTCTTTCCATAGTTTGACTATTATGGCTACTGCTGCTATAAACATTGGGGTACAGGTGCCCCTTCAGATCACTACATTTGTATCTTTGGGTAAATACCAAGTAGTGTAATTGCTGGGTCATAAGGTAGCTCTATTTTCAACTTTCTGAGGATCCTCCATACTGTTTTCCAGAGTGGCTGCACCAGCTTGCATTCCCACCAACAATTTAGGAGAGTTCCCCTTTCTCCACATCCTTGCCAACATATGTCATTTCCTGACTTTTTAATTTTAGCCATTTTGACTGGTGTGAGGTAGTGTTTCATTGTGGTTTTGATTTATATTTCCCCGATGCCAAGAGATTTTGAACATTTTTTCATGTGTCTATTGGCCATTTGGATGTCTTCTTTGCAGAAACGTTTGTTCATGTCTTCTGCCCATTTCTTGATTGTATTATTTGTTCTTTGGATGTTGAGTTTGCCAAGTTCTTTACAGATTTTGGATACTAGCCCTTTATCTGATACATCATTTGCAAATATCTTCTCCCACTGTCAGTTGTCTTTTCGTTTTGTTGACTGTTTCCTTGGCTGTACAAAAGCTTTTGATCTTGATGAAGTTCCAATAGTTAAAATGGTTGAATGACCTAAGTGTGAGAAAGGAATACGTCAAAATCCTAGAGGAAACCATAGGCAGCTACCTCTTCAATCTCACTTGCATTTTTACAAGGATTGCTGTGGTTGCTGTGTTGTAAATACATTTTAAGGAGACCAGGATAAAAGCGGGGAGACCAGGTAGAGTATTTCAGTAATCCAGGCTAGATGGTATGGTGGCTTGAAGTTGAAGAGGTAGTGACAAGGATTAGGTTCTAAATATATTTTGAAAGCAGAGCTAACAGGATTTGTTATTGCACTGAATATGTGAATTAAAAGAAATAAGAGTCAAGGATGATTCAAGGAAGTTTGGATTGAGCCACTAGAATGATGAAGTTTCTATCAACTGAGATGGGAAGAGTTCTAAGTACAGTGAATTTGGGGCAGAGATTAAAAAGTTCAGTTTGAATATGTTAGGATATCCCGTTGAGGATGTAGAACAGTCAAATTCATATACAAGTTGAATTTAGGAGAGGGGGTTAGAGTTATTGATTCTATAAATACAGATTGAGTTTTTGAGAGATAAATTTGGAAATCTGCCCATAGATTGTATTTAAAGCCATTAGATTAGACTGCCAAAGTCTCTGTAGGAATGAGCATAATAGAGAAAAGAAAAGAATCAGGAACTGAGCCTTTGTGGTGTGTGTGTGTGTGTGTGTGTGTGTGTGTGTGTGTTTAGCATCAATTTATTTGTTTTCTTATGCTTGTTTCACATTTATTAAAATTCCTCTCTGAGAAAGATATTATCATATAAAACTTATAGTTATTTTCTTTCAAATTTTGAGAACTTTTTACTAAAAAGTTATTTTTTCTTCTAAATGAAGCTAAGCTGATATGAGTGTTATTTATTTAATATACTGCGTTTTAAAGTATTTTTCAGTTTATTATTAAAGTAAGAGCATTATTTAATTTTTTTTTCTTCCTTTTTTTAGGGATGATTTGGTCAGACATTAAAAGACTCTGGTATGAAGGGTTAGAAGACTTTTTGGAAGAATCCCGTAATCAACTCAGTTTTGTCATGAATTCACTTTATTTGGCAACTTTTGCCCTCAAAGTGGTTGCTCACAATAAGGTGACTATTAGCTATGTTAATTGCAGACACAAGTGAAGTTTGTTTAGGAAAAACCTGAGATATGTAGCTGTATAACTCAGAGTTACATTGCCCCAAATCTATATCTGATGTGTTTTCATTTTAAACCTATCCCAGTATAAGGGAATAGTCTGCATTGTTTCCTCCCTTCCAATAGTTTGAAGGATGTTAATTACCTTTTAATGTTGGTTACCTATTATATGCCAGGCACCATGGTTGATACTTGCTATACTTTATCTCATTTTATCCTCACAGGGACTCTATGAGACAGATGTCCTTATCCCCATTTTGCAAATAAGGAAAACGAAGCTCAGAGATATTAAGTAACTTATCCAAGACCACACAGTAAGAAACCAAGACTGGATTTAAATCCAGGTCTGTCTAGGCATTTTCTTTCTACCAAATGCCAATTCCTTATATCTGAGCTAGGTTCATATACCTCATTAATGTGTATATATACTTAAAATGAGAACACAAAGTTACTGAAATTAATAAGTGTTAGTTATCTTTATACCTGCTAGAAAAAAGTTTATCTTTAAGAATTTATTCTGTAGTGTTTTACCTCATTCAGAATCATGATTAGTATCTTCTATAGCTTAAAAGGTGATATAAATGTGATAATTTTTGATGCTTCTATTTTTAAAAGTTAGCATTTGACAAAAATTTAGTTTTATACACATCTTATAATTTTATGAAGATATAAGCTCTTCCAAGCCCAGAAAAGGTAATGGATTTTATGTTAACTATCTTTGTTTAAGCCTTGGGTTTAGAATTCTTCTAAGGCATCACAGTCAAAGAACTGAGAGATATATTTTCTGTTTTTTTAACTACTTTATAGACTATAGAAAAAAAACGGTTATCTTATATCATTTTACTTTATTTAAAAAAAAACCTCTATTCCCTTAAATGATCAGTAGTATGGAACATGTTTGTTAGGCATTTTAGGTGACTTGAGTTGTGAAATTACTAAGAAAATAAAAATTGATCATAACATAGATAAATGGTTGAGGGTCATTGGTATCTTACACTGGTCTCTTTAGTTCTAGAAGTGGGAACACTTTGAGAGTGAAAGGGGGCATTAATCATTATGCCAGGAAAACTGGAATATAATTTGGGACTAACCAGGCAACTGGAACATGTGGCCACTCTATGTCTGGGTATAATAATACACTCTCTTTCTTGGTATTTAGAAGGGGGAAGAACTTCTAGGGTTCATTCTAGAAACCTGAGTTAAAGGGCTAGGTTAATTTAATATGATAGCTAATTAACTAAGAGAAAACATACTTAAATTTTACTTAATACTTAAAGTTTATGTTGTAAAATTTAAGGAAAACCAGTAAACATTTCATTCATAAAAAGTTTGACTTTTTAAAAAATTATTTAATTTTTAAAACCCAAGAATTTCTTTTTTTTTTTTTAAGATTTTATTTATTTTTTATTTGACAGACAGAGATCACAAGTAGGCAGAGAGGCAGGCAGAGAGGTAGAGAGAGGAAGAAGCAGGCTCGCCGCTGAGCAGAGAGCCCGATGTGGGGCTCGATCCCAGAACCCTGGGATCATGACCTGAGCCGAAGGCAGAGGCTTTAACCCACTAAGCCACCCAGGCGCCCCAAAACCTAAGAATTTCTAAGAAAACCTCTTTATATAGAGTAAGTGATATTGCCTCACATATGTAAAGATCTTTTATTTAAAATAATGTTATTTGTATTAGAAGAAGAGGACTTTATAAAACATAAAAGGAGAGCCCCTAAAAGATATATAATTATTAATTTTCTTTCAATAGTCAGAATATTTACTTTTATTTTCCTAAGTTGAGGGAGCTATTTACCTTTGGCTTTTTCTTCCTAACTTTAGTTTCATGATTTTGCTGATCGGAAGGACTGGGACGCATTCCATCCCACTCTGGTGGCAGAAGGGCTTTTTGCATTTGCAAACGTTCTAAGTTATCTTCGTCTCTTTTTTATGTATACAACAAGCTCCATATTGGGTCCATTACAGGTAAATAATTCATTTTTCTTAAAGAAATTTCTTAGATGTCATTATTATTATATCTTCTTGTTGGTCCACTGGAACACTGTTCTCTCATGATGTTCAAGTTAAACTTTGTTTTTGATAATAATTAACAATTGAGAGGACACTGTGTGTTCATCTGCTTTGCTTTTAGCTGAATGTTAATCCTTTGCTTTCAGTTATTCAAATTTTTATCAAGCTCTGGTCCATTGACCCTCTCCCTGCAGCCCATAGATGTAGATTCATTTAAAATATAGTTGTACTTCAGACAATAGAGAAACATGAAAATCTGCTTTTAACCAAAATGAATCTCATATTTAAAATTTTAAGTGATAAATATGAGGGAGGTGTTGTGCAGAAAGAATTTATTCTTAATGATGATTTTGAAAATAAATAAGCTATATTTTTAAAATACTCTTTCACTTTGTTTAGTAAATATTAAATATAATAAATTGGTAAACAGCATATTTAGAACTAGCAAGTTTCATAGAGTTCATATAGTCCAGCTTCATACTGTATAGTACTTTATAGCTCAAGAAATTGGGCTTTTGAGGGATGCCTGGGTGGCTCAGTTTGTTGAGCAGCTGCCTTCGGCTCGGGTCATGATCCCGGTATCCTGGGATCGGGTCCCGCATCGGGCTCCTTGCTCGGCGGGGAGCCTGCTTCTCCCTCTGCCTCTGCCCGCCTCTCTGCCTACTTGTGCTCTCTCTCTCTCTCTCTGGCAAATAAATAAAATCTTAAAAAAAAAAAAAAGAAAGAAATTGGGCTTTTGAGATGGTATGTGATTTGTTCAGAGTAGTATGATTGTTATAGTGAGAGTCCAGGACTAAATGCTAAGTCTCCTTACATTAAAGAAAGGACCCATGATTGGTTGACTTTACTCCACATATTGTAGTAGTGATTGTTTCTAGAAGGTGGGAATCAACTCCGCTACATGACTAGCTCTACATATAATACTAATTTTTTCTCAATAGGTAAAAATTTACTAAGAATGTAGATTTTTTTAAAGATTTTTTTTTTAATTTATTTGAGAGATTGAGACAGAGCGACAGAGACCACAAACGAGGAGGAAAGAGAGAAGCAGGCCCCGCCGAGCAGCGGGACCTGAGCCAGAGGTGGATGCTTACCTGACTGAGACACGAGGTTCCCGATGAATGTAGATTTTTAAAAGCATTTTTAAAGGAGATGTTTTAAGTAGAGGGCACGATTACCTTCTCCAAATAGGGATATGAAAATAAAATATGTAGGAAAAACTTGATCTGATTTGGCTTGTGCTATCATCCTGCAGTGGTGTTTCCTGAGGTGTGATTTTCTTAACCAAGTCCTGTGAGGTGCTCTGACTGAAATAAGGCAGAAACACTGCATTCCATATAATTCTTTTGGGAATTCACAGTGCATATGAGCACATTAAATCTCATGAGAAAGAAGTAAAGATACTTGTTTAACCTTGTTCAAATGATCATTACATAAGTTCATCAATTTTCATTAGATATGCTCAAGTCTCTGTTTTTATCCAAAGCAATAGTATGTGAATTCCTAGTTTAGACTGTTATTTTGATTTAATTTTGCCACTAATATCCTCTATGAATGTTTTAGTCAAGATTCAACAGTATGTTTTATATGCATTTTTTTTTTTAGCTAAAAATTGATGATACCACCAGTTTATATACTGGAAATTTTTTTATAGATTTCTACAGAATTAAAAAGGAAAAGTATGCTATTATTTCTTAGTGAATTATCTCTTTGTTTTTCTTAGAACTATTGACTTGGGTCTTCTGACTTAGTCTCTTCCTAAAAGAACTATTGTTGTGTATACAAATACTGCGTAAGTGGGTATTTGTCATTTCAGCTCTTGTGTGTGTTTTTCTCCTCCAGCATGATAATTTATATTATCCTAATAGTTGTAGAACTACAGATAATATAGGTGAGGCCAAAAAATAGTGTTCCTATTTTTTAAAAACTCTGCAAGTTAATCATAATATATGCTTAAATATTATGATTTAGTTCAGCAAGTGATTTTTTAAAACCTATCTTTATTAAAGTATACTTTGCATACAGTAAAATACACGCATCTTAACTGTATAATTTGATGAGTTTTGCAAATCTGTAAATTTGTTTAATCACTACTATAATCAAGATAGAGAACATATGCATCACCCCAAAAAGTTTCTTGGTACATTTTTGCATTTACATTTGCATTCCCTTTGCCCTTTCCCCAGGCAACCATTGCTGGGATACGCTAGTCTCAGAACTGAAGGATTTGGAAATACAAATAGAACTAGTATGTATTACAAAGCAGATCTTCCCAGACAGAAGGTTGTCTGCAGTCTTTTTAGTGTTACTGGTTCTCATGGTCACAAGCTCCCTGCTCCAAGTCATTATATCAAGTCTGTACCCTGCAGGAAAAAGGGGAAAAGGCAGAGGCCAAAAGGCAGAAAGCATGGGCCAGCTGTCTTTCTCTTTTTATCAAGAGCAATCATTTTCCCTGGAGCCCTATACCAAATGTATCCATTTATAACTCATTGGCCAAAATTTGGTGTCAATAACCATAACCTTCGTAGCTACAAGGAAGTCTGAGGAGATCAGTACTTTTAATTGAGCATATTGCCCCCTAAGAAATCAAGGTCTGGTTAGTTAAGAAGAGGGCAAGGAATCGATATTGAATAGGAATCTATAGATTCAGATTTTCAGGCTTTTACTTAAAGAAGTTTTCAAATAAAGGCATTTGTTTTCCAGTGTAGTCTTACTAACATGACAGATTTGTATTGCATAATTCTGCCAAAATATTCTAAAAATGAAAATATTTATAATACATTTCTCCATTATGTTCATCGTAAGGAACTCAATTAAAATGGAATGAGTTAGTTATGAATGTAAAACTAAAAGAAATGCAAAGAGAAAATTGACAATAAGTTAATTACTTTAGCAAAAGTGTAACTTTTTTTCCTTTATGTATATAACTTGCTATGTCAAATAATGCTTTTATGTGATTATTGCAGTTGGTTGTTAAATTTATTTCCATATACTAACATTTTTTCCTTCCAGATTCTTGCAGATTTAGAAGTTGACTTTTATTTTAACTTGATACATAACCTGTGTTAGGGGTACAGAACTCTCCCTTGGTTAGAATAACCATATTTTATCATCCAAATAGAGACACTTGGGGGAATACTAACTTGGGAAAACAAGTGGAAACTGGGACTATCCTAGGCAAATAAAGGTCACAGGAATATCATATAGTAGAGTATATAAAATGGTTCTATATTCAGCAATGATTGTATCCTCTATTCTAGTACTTGACAATTTTATGATTTTATGATTTATAAGCTACTAAAATTAGTAGCTTACATTGTAGGTAGACTTTGGAATGTAACTGTCTACGTCTGGCCCTGCTTGCTTAGTAGCCATCTCTTATATACTCATCTCTGTGTCTTACTGAAATTCTTCTCCATCTGGGCCAAGACCAGTCACTGGTCTCACACATGGCCCATGCTCTTCGACTTCCATGTCATTGTTTATGTTATTACCCTGTTTAGAATGCCCTAGCTGTTCCTCTGCTTGTTGAAATTTTATTTATTTATTCAACAAACATTTATTGAGTGCCTGGTAGTTACTGGACACTGAGAATACTAAAATGAATAAGCTCCAATAGCTCCTTAAGGGGCTCACAGTACGTTGAAGGTGACAGGCAAGCATGACATTTACAGTGGTAATTGTTGTCATAGCTCAGAGAAAGGGCAGTCACTTCAGTTTAAGTCACTTCCCAGAAGAGATGACACTAGAATTAAGTCTTGAAAGATGAGTGGGAAGGAGGCGGGATTAGGGCATCCCAGGGAGAAGGGAACATGTGCCAACTTTAGGGCTCTTGCCACTGGAAAATCCATTCCTGCACTCCTGCTCCCCTGCTAATGAATAACTCCATCCAATGAACTTGATACTTTGAACCTCTAATGAGCACTTCCTAAAGCTTGTCTTAATTGTAAGGCAGTGAAAATTTAGCTTGTCTTAAATTCTAGATGATGTTATTTCTTTTTTTTTTTTTTTAAAGATTTTTTTTATTATTTATTTATTTGACAGAGAGAGAGATCTCAAGTAGGCAGAGAGGCAGTCAGAGAGAGAGGAGGAAGCAGGCTCCCTGCGGAGCAGAGAGCCCGATGTGGGCCTCGATCCCAGGACCCTGGGACCATGACCTGAGCTGAAGGCAGAGGCTTTAACCCACTGAGCCACCCAAGCGCCCTAGATGATGTTATTTCTAAGTTAAAAAGTCCTTGAGGATGGGAAATATATCTTTTTTTTTTTTTAATGGGCACATTACTCACTGCATGGTCATACTAGTTACTTACTGTATGTCAAATTGAATTGAAAAACTGGTTAGACTGGGCTTGGGTAGAGACAAGTGCTGATTGGTGCGTGAAAAGAAAAAAACTGATGGAGAAATAGGACAATATCCTAGCTGTCCCTGGAGCTGCTTATGCAAAATCTGTTCAGCAACCACATTTGTTGGACATTTCATGTGGTCCAGGCACTGTGCTGTTTTCCACTTATTTAATCCTCATCACAACCCTTGCTGTTTTTTATTTCCATTTTACAAATGGAGGATCTAAGGCTTAGAGAGGTTCAGTGGTTCACAGAACTAGACCGAAGTAGAGTCAAGAGTTAAACCTGAGTCTGTCTGAATCCAGAGACCAACCAGCTCTTTGAAGTTAGCTCTTCTGCTTTTATGAAGGATCCCAGCTAATACACTTCAGCAGATATGAGTCATGGTTGGGCATAAATCAGTAATGTTCTACATCTTAACAAAAAAAGACATGAAGATAGAATCTAAAAATAAAGGCGGCAATTATAATAATAGCAGTTAACATTTGAGCCCTTACTGTGGATACTATTCCAAGATCTTTATGTACATTTATTACCTCATTAAATCCTCACAGTTGTTCTAAGAGGCAGACTCTTTTATTTCCATTTTGCAGAGGAAGAAACTGAGGCAT